TAACTCTGCCACTCAAATAAATGAATAAAATCTTTTAAAAAATACAATACTATGTAGACATTAATATTACCTTCACTAAAGGAGGCTTTAATGAATGGGGAAATATTTATATAATAATGTTAAGTAAAAAGCAGGTTATAAGACTACGAAATATAAACCACATTTTAAAATTTTTACTTTAATTCTTTGAAAGACTCACAGAGTCTCATCTCTTGAGGCTGAAGCCGGGAGGTGGGAAAATTAATCCATGTCTCCCAATAGATAGCAAGGCCCCAATTACTTGAGCCATTACTGCTGCCTCCCAGAGTCCACATTAGTTGGAAGCAGGAATCAGGACCCAGACTGGTATCAAAGTAAAATAATCAAATATGAATGTGGGCATCCTAACCACTAAGTTAAATGCCTGCCCCTCAACCACACTTAGAAAATGCTTACCATGACAGAAATATATCAAAATGTTTACAATGGGAAGATCATTATTCTCTTATAAGACTGTTCTACATCTTTCTGTATATGACTACAACTAATGTGTAACACCTAAAGTCAGAAAAAGAACTTTTGAAAATAAAATCATATTGCAAAATAAAACCTAACTAATGTGAACTATATAAGATAAAAATATATGGGTTCTAGGTTAGAATCTAAAGTCCATGCTTTATGAACTTGCCCACAAATCCACAAATTCTGTGACATGTTATGGTGGCATATATGTGGATTTTACTTATTCTCATTTCTTTGCTGAATTTGGGGGTATTGGATGGGGGTATTGTGGATGGGCAAAGTGTTCAGTTATATGAGAAGGCTTCAAAAAGTTCATGGAAAAATGGAATTGAGATAAATTTTAATAAAAGCCATTCTAAAAACAAGAAAAGAAAAAGGGAGTTTTCATGCAAAAAAATTCTGAATGCATGCATAGTCTTTCATGGTACACATTCTGATGACCTTTTTACATGACCATTTTGCACAAATACTCATGTAGAGAGAGGGTAAACAGCAGAAACAAAAGTGAGGGAGAAAGTGTTCTGAGCTAATGCTTTTGATAAGTGTGTAAGGATTTTTTTCATTAATTGGTTTTTAGAAGTTTTAGAAGCCACAGATGGTGGTAACTGTCATTAAGCCACTCAGGATGATTTATCAGTGGATGAGCATTAAGGATAAATTAACCTCTCTGGAGACCAGGATATCGTCTAACTAACAATTAACTACTTCCTAAAATGAAGAGCTGAATTAAAAATGTGAGAAAGGCAAAACTGGGCTAACATGGAAAGAAGCCAAGCATTGAAGCGAAAGGGTGTCTTAATATAGCATGTTTATATCAGAAGGTACTATTACCAATGTCCTAGCCTCATTCCTGTGTATTATAATGAGATATTTTCTGTTAAATAGCAACATCATTTTTATTTTATCCTCATTCTTTGATTGAAATCACTTAATATCTAGGTTATGGAGAATGTGGCAGTGACTTCACGCAGCCCCCAACAAATCCACCACCTGTGTCCCCTCATGCAGGGATGAGCAAAGGCAAACTGAGTTCAGAGTGGGTGATTTAACAGAGTAGCTCGACTCCTCAGAGATCTGAAGATCATCCTTTTGAATTGTCCTCTGCCTTTCCAAACACTATGTGTCACGAAAAAGACTCTAAGAGTACTTTAAACTGATTTGAGAGAGAGAAAAAATCCAACTATGTTCTCACTTGGCATTGGAGGCATTCATTAGCACTTGCAAGACATATTTTAAAAGATTTTATTTATTTGAAAGGTAGTGTGACAGAGAGAGAGGGACACACACACACACAGAGAAAGAGAGAAAGAGAGATAGATCGATCTTCCATCTGCTGGTTCACTCACCAAATGGCTGCAATGGCTTGGGAATGGGCCATGTTGAAGCCAGGAGCTGGACTGGTAGCAGAGCAGCTGGGACTTGATCCAGCTCTCTGATATGGATGCCAGTGGAGAAGCAGCAGTTTTACCTGCTGTGCTACAACATTGGCCTCTGCAATATGATTTCTAAGAATTTCTCTAAAGACAATATATTTTATTATTATAACAACCTTGTGAGTTATTAGTCCAAGTTTACAGATGAAGAAGCAAATGTTCTAATGGTTAATTTGCTAAAGCTAGAGGGAAGCCTGAAACTCAGATCCTGAAACTCTCAATCCTGTGTTTACTCTGTGTTTCACGCTGCAGAGTGTATTGTTAGATCAGTTCTGTGCCAAAGTATTTGCCCTTAAAAGTGACGTATAGGGGGCTGGCGCTGTGGCGAAGCAGGTAAAGCTGCCACCAGCAGTGCTGGCATCCCATGTGGGAGCCGGTTTGAGTCCTGGCTGCTCCTCTTCCGATCCAGCTCCCTGCTATGGCCTGGGAAAGCAGTAAAAGATGGCCCAAGTCTTTGGGCCCCTGAATCCCACGTGGGAGACCCGGAAGAAGCTCTGGCTCCTGGCTTTGGATCGGCCCAGCTCCAACCATTGGGGCCATCTGGGGAGTGAACCAGCGGATGGAAGACCTCTCTCTCTCTGTCAATGCTTCTCTGTAACTCTACCTTTCAAATAAATAAATAAACCTTTAAAAAAAAGTGACATACAAGCGAGCCTTTACAGATTAGTAGTTGCTCAATAACAGTACAGCAGGGTAGAAAATGATTCCACTTGCAGAGGGAGATTGTGGCTGATGTTCACTCCCACCTTAGTACCTGGTTGTGCCCACTTCATGCACTGGATTGGATCCCTCTTCTCTCCACAAGACCACAATTCCGATTTGTCCTTCAAAAAGTTTAAAACAACATCCTTTCCCAAGAAAGTCCAAGGAAAACATGAGCTGCTTTCACTACTCTTGACATCACATCTCAGCTTAACTCTAATAGCTTGACCATGGTACACAGTCCCAAATTCCTCAGGCATCCTTCTCCAGTGCATACATGCACGTCTTAGCTCCCCAGCTACACTTTCAGCAAGATGGATGTCTTCTACCCCCTCACATTCCTCTTTACCTTTTCAATCCTCCTCCCATTTTCCTCTAATTGCCTAGTGTACTGCTGTGCATTCAACGAACGCTTATTGAACAAGTGAGAATCTGCATTAGTTGGTGAAAGCACAGCTTGGTTACTAATTAGGAGGTTGGGGTTTCCGGCTTTCAACTAACCAAATTTGTTATTTCAGGCAAGTCTATGGGCCTCAGTTTCCTTACCTTAAAATGGGCATGGAGTGGCAAGAAGTGAGTAGAATATAGGAGTTTTATGATCTCCATTAGGATGAGAGAGTAGATGAACAGGAATTCCAAAGAGAAGAATATTAAAAGCAGTACAGGGGCTGGTGTTGTTGCACGGGTTAAGCATCTGCTTGCAATGCCAGCATCGCCTATCAAAGTACTGGTTCAAGTCCCAGCTGCTCCACTTCTGATCCAGCTCTCTGCTAATGCACCAGGGAAGGCAGCAGAAGATGGACTGGGTGGTTGGGCCCCTGTCACCCTCATGGGAGACCAAGATGGAATCCTGGGCTTCTGACTTCAGCCTGGCCCACTGCCAGTTGCTGTGAACATTTGGGGAGTAAACCAGTAGTTGGAGGATCTCTCTCTCTCTCTCTCCCTCTCCCTCTCCCTCTCTTCCTTCCTCTGTCCCTCCTTCCCTCTTTCTCTGATGCTCTTTCAAGTAAATAAAGGTAAAAAAAAAAAAGCAAGACAAATATAGAGACCAAATAATCAACCACCTGACAGGTAAAAGAGAGCCACTGTGCCTGGAAAATCAACAAAGCAAAGAAGAATATCAGAGTCAGTAGATATGTACTGGAGCCAGGCTAGGAAAGGAATATAAAGGGTGGACATGTAAAACAGGGCAGCAGAATAACTACACATATATACATAACTTATGCTATCCATACACACACACACACACACACACACATATACATATAAATGTTATCCAAGCTTGACATCAAATGTTTTGAATTTCAGCGTTGAGATTGCTTACCATATCATGAAGAAAATCAGATGCATGCTAAAAATAACCTTGTGAAATTCAAATCAGAAGTTTCTGATATTAAAATAGGGATTAAGTACAGGGAAGCAGCAGATGATGGCCCATGTGTGTGATCCTCTGCTTCCCATGAGGGAGACCAGGAGTAAGTTCTTAGCCCAGAGCTGGCTGTTGTGAAGCAACAGAAGGAAGATTCTCTCTCCCCCTATCCCCAAGTCTTTCCCTCTCTTCCTGTCATATGCCTTTCAAATAAATAAATCTTTTTTAAAAATAGGGATTAATAATACCAACATTTGACCATTAGAAACCTACCCCCACTTCTCTCAGTGGAAGAAGTGGTGTGGCAAATTTAATCAGGGTATTCCTGCTGCGTAAGTTTAATTTTACTAAAGATTTTAATAATTTTAAGCAATCCTGAACCAGTTTCATTAAAATTGGTTTTAGCTGGGAGATTACATTAATAGACAAAAATTGTGTTACAAGGAAGTCTGTCCACAACTTAAAACTCCCTTAGATGGGATGCTGGCAACCAACGTCTGTGGTGTGGTTTTAGGGGCTAGGTTTTATCTGAGATACTAAGGAAAAGAAAGCCTAGTTAAGCTTAAAACTTCAAGACAAAAGAAAAATAGTACCTCTTTAGAACTATTTGAAATTAAAAAAAAAATACTTGAACCAAATAACAGTTCTTGGATTATCCGATGTAGAAGGTTTCAGTGGCTACTCCAAATTGAAGTTATAATTTAAAAGATGACATCAATAGTTCACAGTGGATAAAAGGCCAGGGAAAAATCCATTTAAATAATAGGACAAAAATTAAAAGATTTGATATTTAAGAGCCATATTTTAGGATTCTCTTGACAAAGTTTTGATACTAAACCTGCAAAGAAGAAACTTATTATTAATCCACGATACATAATTTTGAATCCAGTTTGCCCTTAATATTCTACCTCAGAAAAGGTTTAAATTTAACCAAGGTCTATAAAAGGTATTTTACAGGGGAAAAATCACGTGTGTATGTATTAAAGCAAACATACCTGCTTCATCATAGGATATAGTCAGTTTTTCTAGCATTTCCCGGTCAATCGAGAGAATCTGCTGCTCAAGGATGGTCTGGTAAGACAGCACACTGTTTTCTTTGTCTTTCTCATAGTCCTGAAGATGCTGTTTAAGGGCCTCTGGGAGTCGAGATTTTACATATTCAGCTGCAGTCTGCAGATAGAACAGTCAGAGAGCCCCATTAGTCCTTCTCAGCTCAGGCCTCTCACGTACCCTCAGGTGCTGTAGCGAGAACTCAAAGCATAGTGGAACCAACTCTCCAGACAAGCCTGTCCTTATAATTATGATCTTTAGACTCCACTACACCCAGACAGGTAGATCTTCAAACAGACAGAATCATGTACCTCTAAGAGTTTTCTACTGAGTTTAAATGTATAAAAGATAATACATTTGGCTGGATATTCACAGACTTGGTTTCAACTATTCCAGTAACCTCTTAAGGCCATATGAGAGCCATTTTTGGGATACAATTCGACCTGCCCTTATTTAGAATTCAGAAGATAGTCACAACACTCATCTCAGCCTGAGCCCACTCATACTACAGAATCCACATCCTTACTTTGCTTTGCTGTTCTCCACTCATTAATGCACACATAGGAACTCCTGTAGATTAGAAAGGAGAGCCCTCTTCTAGGGCATATCTTGAAATAATGGGTGAAGAGACCCAATGTAATGTAATGACACTAACTTTTAGCATAACCTAAAAAAAAGCACTTTTCACCACTTTAGTTTCTTAGTCTCTATACATATTATTCTTAACTTGGTTTTGCTTGCTTTGTTTTGTTTTACTTGGACACTATCTGTAGAATACACATTCCCACTAGTAATATCTGAAATTACATGCAGTGATTTTCAATCAAGCAAACACGTTCCATGTGGGCATATAAAGGAAGATTTGTATTTTGAAAAAGGCCTTCCTAAAGGTCCTGAAATGTTCCTCTAGTGGGCTAGGGTAGTAGTATACTCTTCTTTCTCCCTCTTGAAAATATAATAATAGTTAAAACAAATTTTTTGGGTGAAGTTAAGTGATAGAATAGCATGTATGAATCAGGAATTCTGAAATTTTTAATCTCTTGAGAAGGTTAATAAATGGTCTCATCAATAAATAGTGTTGGGAAAACTGAATATCCATATACAGAAAAATGAAATAAGACCCTAATCTCTCAATATATTTATATGCAAAGATAACTCAAAATGGACTAGAGACTTATATGCATGTAAGACCTAAAACCATGAAATTACTAGAGAAAAACAAAAGAAAAATGTTTCAAGATCCTGCTCTGGCAATGACTTTTTGGCTAACACTGGTATGAGATAAAGAATCAGGAATTATGCCCAGGTGAGCTGGAATTCTCATACCCCTTCAATGTAACACTATCTCTTTACCTGTCAATTTGATTCACGCACCTTCCCAAGATGCACATGCTGCATCCAGGAAAATGGTGCGTGCTAAGACCCCACCCCATTTGCACATCCAATTGGGGTACCACCCTCTTCCTTATAAAAAGAAGTGGACCTTGGTTGGAGGTATTGCTTGGAGGTATTTCTCCCATTTTTGCTCTTTCTACCATGGAACACTCATATACACCTTCCCAGTTATAGGTACTGTTTTCAGGTTTGCTTTTTTCTCATTTACAGGCAATTCTTTGACCCACTCATGTTAGGTATTTCTCTGTGTGGGGTGGCCCACACTCCCATGTGAATATACATTTATTCCCTCACTACCAAGTAAACTCTGTTTCTATTTGCACATGATACCAGTCTCCACTTAATATTTCTATCTCTGTGGAAGACAATAACCTGGACTTTAAAAAGTCAGTATTCATTGCCCACATTAACACCTTAAAAGCATAAGCAACAAAAGCAAAAATAGACAAATGTGCCTGCAAACTAAAAATCTCATGCACAGCAAAAGAACAACATAGTGAACAGACCACCTACAGAATGAGTGAAAATATTTTCCATTTCTATAGCTGACAAGAGGTTAAAAACAAGAATACATTAGGAACTCAAACAACTCAACAGCAAAGAAAGTCAAAACAAAACAAGAACTCTGATTATAAAATGGACAAAAGACCTGTATAGACAACTCTCAACAGAAAACATTTGGCCAACATGACAAACTGCTCAACATAATTAATCATCATGGAAATACAAGTCAAAAATTTAATAAGATATTACCTCTCCCTGGTTAGAATGGCTATTCGCAAAAAGACAAAAGTTAAGTGCTGGCAAGGATATGGAGAAAGGAGAACTCCTGCACACTGCTGGTGGGAATATAAATTAATACAGTCAGTATGGAAAACAGTATGGAAGTTCCTCAAAAAAATTAAAAATGCAACTACTACATAATCTAGCACTCCTGCTAGAGGTATATATTCAAGGGAAATGAAATCAGTATACTGAAGAGAAATCTGTGCTTCCATGCTTATTGTAGTACTATTCACAACAGTTAGGATATGAAATCAACCTAAATGCCCAAAGAATGAATGAATAAAGGAAAAGTGATATATACAAACAATGGAATACTATTTAGTTATAAAAAGAATGCAATCTTGCCATTTGTAGACAACATAACTGGACCTGGAGGACATTATATTAAGTGAAATAAGCCAGGCACTAACAAATATTATATAATCTCACTCATCTGTAGAACCTAAAAAAAAAAATGAACTCATGAATCTAGAGAGTACAATGGTGGTTACCAGATGCTGGGGTGGTTAGCATCAAGGTTGGGATAAGGAGATGTGGGTTTAAGGATGCATAATTACAGTTAGATAGGAGAAACAAATTTCAAGGGCTCTATTGCACACCAAAATGCCTACAGTTAATGACAACAGAAAATGTAAAGAGAATGTATGTTGTGAGCTGTCACCAAGAAATGATAACCACATGGTGTAATATCTTTGGAGAACACAAGAGAGGACTTAATGTATACACACATATACCAGGGGGAACATAATGAGGTATTGTTAAGGTTTAGTATCATATGTGATGATGCTTTAAAAATTCATGAAAAATAGAATTAAAAGATAATGTGCACTTGCCACTATTTTTGAAGTACTATTTTGCATGTGAGAAGATACATAAGGATATATTCCAGTTGCAAAAGATACTTTTTACTTTCCATATTTTCTGTATTGTTCCATTGTTCTTAGTATGGCAATTTTTAAAAATTACCTTCTGAATGTTTCTTTGTAACCTTCATAGCTTTATTTTTTTAATTTTTATTTAATAAATATAAATTTCCAAAGTACAATTTATGGATTACAATGCTTTTTCCCCCATAACTTTACTCCCACCCGCAACCCTCCCATCTCCTGCTCCCTCTCCCATTCCATTCGCATCAACATTCATTTTCAATTATCTTTATATACAGAAGATCAATTTAGTATAAATTAAGTAAAGATTTCAACAGTTTGCACCCACACCAAAACACAAAATGAAAAATACTGTTTCAGTACTGTTTATAGCATTAATTCACATTGGACAACACATTAAGGACAGATCCCACATGAGGAGTAAGTGACTCCTGTTGTTGACTTAACAAATTGACACTCTTGTTTATGGAATCAGTATTCACCCTAGGCTCTTGTCATGAGTTGCCAAGGCTATGGAAGCCTTTTGAGTTCGCCGACTCCGATCTTATTTAACAACATCATAGTCAAAGTGGAAGTTCTCTCCTTCCTTCAGAGAAAGGTACCTCCTTCTTTGATCACCCATTCTTTCCACTGGGATCTCACTCACAAAGATCTTTCATTTAGTTGTTGTTGTTGTTGGTTTTTTTTTTTTTTTTTTTTTTACCAGAGTGTCTTGTTTTTCCATGCCTAAAATACTCTCATGGGCTCTTCAGCCAGATCTGAATGCCTTAAGGGCTAATTCTGAGGCCAGAGTGCATAGCTTTATCTTTAAACATTAGCAAAAAATTTAAGGAAAAAACTTGCTGAAACAATGACAACTGACTTCTTAGGAAAAGTTCACTGGGAAGTGAGGGGGAGGGTGGAGTTATATTTCAGTCCTTAAAGTAGCCAAGAATAGTACACAACGCTTTTTATTTCCAGATTTATATTTAAGTGAGTTGCTGATGAAATCACAACTTTAAAATATCACCAAACATTGTTCAATTTCTTCGCTGGCCAGCAGTGCAGAACAAATAAAATTATTCCATAAAATGCAAATAAACTCAGCACATTAACACAACATATTTAACTCCAGAGTTTAACAACAATTTTCTTCTGACACTGTAAAACAAAGAGACATACTACAGAATATCCATTTCTAAACTCACCTTGCTTATTCAGTGTAACAACAGTTACCTTACTATTCAGTATAACATCTGTCTTTAGTTCTCCCCCCACAACATTGGAATACCCATGAGGTAGAGAAAATAGTTCTATATTCACATTTTACAAATATTGATACACTCTATGTAACTGAAAGTGCACTGCATATTTCCTTCCAGTTGTACATGCTAATTGTGCCTAAAATGAAATTTACTTTTTTAATTAAAATTATGACAATAAGTCTTTGAACAAAGCCTCTATCTTTGACTATACTGGAGTCATATTTTGACATTCATTTCTAAAACATAACATATATAGCATTCTTTTTATTGGGAAATATCCTTAAGAGGAAAGGAAAGAAATAACCCTAGGCAAAATATTAAAGTCTGTTAAGATATTTTAAAGAAATCACCTTTTTACTGAGGTGACATTCTAAATGTGCTCAAATGGCAATGAAGCCTTATGTTCAAGCATCAGTTTATGTTCAAAAAGACAGCACTGAAATTGGAATCACTCCACAAGTAATAGATAATACAATGAACACTTTAAACCTAAAACTTCCACTGAGATTCTAAAAATGAAGTAAAAAACACAGTAAAGCTATGGGGGTTATTTACCCATTCTTTAATCTATGATAAATGCCACTAAGAGTTGAAATCAAAAACTGCATGCTCTCATAACCTAAGCATTTCTAAAACAATAAGATTATTATTACCATTACCAGTCTTGGGCATTTGTACTTAATACTTTCCCAAAGAATTTATGATTTTATCATTCTGTATCTTCAAGACTCTTCAGTCATGGTAGACAAATTGATTGTGGCCAATCACGTGCTGTATATTCTGTTAGTGTCTTAGGAACACCTAAGAG